GCCTCAGAGTGGAAGGTGGCAGGCCCGCCTGCCACCTCCTCAGTTCAAACATCTTAACGTGCCAGGGGTGTGGGGCTTCCTTGTCCATCCTTCCCCTGGCCACCACAGGTCACCCCAGCAGGGCACCCCGTCTCAGCCCCTTGCTCAGGAAGCTCGGTTCTCACCGCCTGAGCCAGTCGCGGCCTTGCGACACCCGGCCCTGCCTGGACCCCTGCCCTGGATCTGCTGGGACCTGGTCCCCTGGAGCTCGAGGACAAGGGTAGGAGAGGCAGATGGGAATGAGAAGCTGGGACCTGGGGGAGGATGTCCCAGAGGCCTGGAGCTCCAATGAGGCCACCAGGCCCCTGGCAGCTGAGGACACAGGGCCGGGTATGAACCTCCGAGTCTAGGAGCTGTGTCCTTCCTTGCCATGGGGTCGTGTGGGAGCAGGCTCTACAGATGGGCAGCGTGCACGGATCGGCCTGGTCCAGGAGCCCCTGATCTGGGTGCCAGAAGCCAGTCCATCCTTGCTGCTTGACACAGTCGCTGCAGGGAAGAAACATCTGCACAGCATATGTTTCAAGGGACCTGGTGTATATGGCATACTGTTCTTAATATATTTGCTCCCCTTCTTAAAGCTTTGTGTTCTAACCAGGGTCACCTCTCCAAGAAAGGTTGTTTCCCCAGGTGGGGATTTTTCCCTGGAGTTAGGGATTAACAGGACTAAGGAAGGGAATAAATCAGTAAAACCCCTTAACTAAGTACCAGGAGGGTAGTTAATCACCTTAACTACGAACAATCAGGCCGCAGTTACATAATCTTTACTGAGGATAATCTCCTTCAGTTACTTCCTTGTAGCTTAACAGAACAGTAGAGTAGTGACCTTGGAATGGAGATAACAAACGCCCTAACCTTTGGAATAGAATAGATAGGATTAAAATCAAATGGTATAAATACAGATGTAACAGGAGAATAAAGACAGAACCTACCTGGTGGGATTTGTGTGCGGCTCCTCTTTCAGACCCGAACCCTGAACCACACAGAACGTCGGGGGGAAAACATACTCGACAATAAGGAAACTACTAAACTTCCTGTGCAAGCGAAGTAGAATTTCATAAGAACATAGTGGATGGAGAAGAGAAAACCTATGGTGGCTGTGAAGGCCCTGATGCCATGTATGTCAAATTGATATCTTCAGATGGTCATGAATTTATTGTAAAAAGAGAACATGCATTAACATCAGGAACAATAAAAGCCATATTGAGTGGCCCAGGTCAATTTGCTGAGAATGAAACTAATGAAGTCAATTTTAGAGAGATCCCTTCACACGTGCTATCAAAAGTGTGCATGTATTTTACTTACAAGGTTCGCTACACTAACAGCTCCACGGAAATTCCTGAATTCCCAATTGCACCTGAAATTGCACTGGAACTGCTGATGGCTGCGAACTTCCTAGATTGTTAAATAAAATAAATTATAATAAACTGTTAAAAATAAAGAACCTGGTGGGAGAACCTGGCTGGAGAACCTGGCTATGCTGATCAACTGAACGCTGCCTCCGTGTCATTCCTTCTTCGCCAACTCCGTCCACACCTTTGGGAACCCCTGGACCTGCTGGGGCTGGATCCCAACACCTGGGCAAGCAGGGTCGGTGGCCACCCTGCCTGACACTAGGGCACACCCTGGCCTCTGCCTGGATCCTGCACCCGCCACCTGGGGACCATGTCCCCTCTGCCCTCCCATTCCCTTTACAATCGAGGACAAAACAGAGAAGTGGGGTCCAGAAGTCTTTGAAAACATAGAATATGACACACAATAGTATAACTTGAAAAGAACTTGAGGGCCAGCAACCACAACGCACGTGCTCAGTTGCATAAAGTTTGTGTTGTTTCGTTTTATTCTGAAAAGTCTTGAGGTAGGAATGAGTGTCCCCTTCACAGGAGAGGAAAACTGAGGCCCGGGAGGGTTAGTGAGTTGCACAGGGTCACACGGGACAGGTGGCAGCCCTGGTCCCTGGTCCCGGTCCTGAGCCCTGTGCAGCGCTCTCCACGGGACAGCCTGCCCTCCAAGGAGACAGGGCAGTCTGGCTGCTGTCAGGGTCCATGGAGGGGAGCTCCTGGGGAACCGTTTTCCCCAGGGGAGTTCAACTCCCTCCAAGTTGCATAGCAGGTGGTAGCCACACCTTCCTGGTGCGGAGGACAGATGAGAGAGAGAGAGAGAGAGAGAGAGACAGAGAGAGAGAGAGAGAGTGTGTGTGTGTGTGTGTGTGTGTGTGTGTGAGCACCAGGCCAGCCAGTTCAAGTTGAGTCTCCCATCTGGCACCCTCTCCTGGACACAGGGAAGAGGTGCCTCCTCCCTATGGTCCCATAGGAATAGCCCAGTCCCCCTTCTCTCCCCATATCCATCTTGGAGTGTCCCCACGAAGGCCCTGGCTGTGTCGGTCCCTGACCATGACCTTTGCTCTCCCACGTGGGAGGTTCCTGTCCCAGGGCCAAGTAGAGATGCCGCATCTAGACCCACGTGTTCTCCAGTCTGTCCAGGCTGCAGACCCCTCTTCAGGGACAAATGCAGCCAGATTCTCCAGCCTTCCCTGCACGAGGGGCCAGGCCACCCAGGCCAACTCCTGGGCTGCATCTGGCCCATTGGTCTCCCACCCCCCACCCCCCACCTCTAGGCAGTCCTGGGCTGTGGGAGCCCTGATCTGTCTCCCTGTGTCACAGTGGCTCCTCTCTCCCCAGGGAAGACACCCTGGGAGGGGGGCTGTGGGGGATGGTAATCCCCCCTCACTGAGCTGTGGCCCCCCATTCAGGGGACTCTGAAGGGCCTTCAGTTCCCTCCAAGGCAGTGGTTCTCAACCAGTGTGTCGCGACCCCTTTGGCGGTCGAACGACCCTTTCACTGAGGTTCTTTAAGACCATCATATTTTCATTATGAATCATAACAGTAGCAACATTACAGTTATGAAGTAGCAATGAAAATAATTTAATTGTTGGGTCACAACATGAGGAACTGCATTTAAAGGGCCAGAAGATTGAGAACCACTGCCCCAAGGGCTCAGACGTGGAGCCCAGGTAGGATGGGGGAGACAGTTCTGAGTTCAGCCTCTGCACCCCTGTCTGGGGTCAGGCTGGACCTGCAAACTGAGGCGGGCTCTCAGCTGCCCATCACACCTGTCCCAGGAGGGACTGGCCAGCAGGTGGCAGCAGTGAGAGGGTGGGCTCTGCTGGCTCCCAGGACTTGAGGGACCAGCAGCCTGGCCAGGGCACATGGGAGGTCAGTCGGAGGGTACAGGGCTGCAGGGCCGGGCTGGACAGCTCTGGGGCCCCTGCTGGGGATGCCTCTGGGACCCCCAGCTCTTAGTCACTTACTCCTCCGCCAGGGCGGCCGCTGGGACCTGCTGCCTCTGGGACTTTCTTCCCCACGTTCATGGGGAAGCTGGAGGGAGCAGAGGGCAGCTGAGGACACAGGGTCCTGGTGGGGAGAGGGCAGCTGTCCACCCCACACCACTCCCCTCAGCTGGACGGCTGAGCATTTAGCCTTCTTAAGAATACACATGAAAACTTCTTATATGGAGTAAAGAAATGTTGAAATGAATTTTACCTATGATTTACAGATCCTATATAATAAAACCCTAATATGCAAATCAACCGCACAGTGGAACGACTGGCAGAATGACTGGTTGCGATGATGTGCACTGCCCCCTGAGAGGGAGGTGACCTGCGGCAGCAAACAGGGGGCTGGGCTGGGCTGGCCAGTGGGCAGCCCAGGCCACCAGCCTAGGTGGGTGCCAGTGGAGGGCCTCCCTATCCCACCACTCATGGGTCGCCCCACAGGTTGCCCTGATTGCTGACCAGGCCTGGGAACAGTCTCTTTGATTTAAAAATTAAAACCTGGCAAGGCTGCTCTAACACTGAAAAACCAGGATGATGCAGCGATGACATGCATGGACTCTGGCTGGCACACTTTGTGGTCAGCCCTGATTCTGACCCTTATAACTGTGTGACAAAGCCAATTACTTAACTTCTCTCTGCTCCAGTTTTCCACCCATAAGATGGGGAAAATGGCACTACTGCCTCAGAAGGATCATGTTATGTACTGCTTTTTATAATCAGGGCAAAAAATTTTGCTGCCCATACAACAGCAAGATGCCTTTCACCTGTATGAAAAGTATGGTCACTGGTGCATGCAGCATCCCGGATTGCGAGACGGATGTATGACTGCCGGTTTAGGCCCGACATCCCCCATGGGGTCCCAGATTGATAGAGGAGCAGGTCGGGCTGAGGGACCCCTTGCCTCCTGTGCATGAATTTCATGCACTGGGCCTCTGGTTATAAAATAGTTGTCATTGAATCAGAATCAAAGAACCAGGAAGAATGTGCTAGAGACAATACAGTTTTCCATGGGAGTGCACATTTTTTATGGAAAAGTGTGGCTTTGAGAGTCATTCCCAGATGCTCAGCAGGAAATACCTATAAAATAAAGCACATGAATCACTTCTATGTGTTTTCAAGGACCCGCACAAATGTAAATACATGTATGGAAAGTAGATTGAAAGGACATATGCATTAACTATATTAAGAGGATGCCTATGGGGCATCGGGTAGGAAGTGCAGCTAGGGGATGGAGGTGGAAAAAAATAAATTCCATAAAACCAGACAAATGGTGACGTGTGTCCATGGGTGACTGTGTGTGTGGACTAGGATGCTGATAGCGGGGAGGCTGTGCACGTGTGGGGACAGGGCTATATGGGAACTGTACTGTGTCTTTAATTTTGCTTGGAACCTAAAACTGCTCTAAAAATAGTCTATTTTTTTAAATGACTAGAAAATGAAACACATATAATTTTATTAACCAATGTAACCACAATAAATTTAATTTAAAAATAACATGTATTTAAAATGACCAGGAGAGTCATGGGTCTTGCCAGAGGCTTCACTGGAGAGCCAGAGACGCCCCAGCAGAGCGGGTCTGAACAGCAGCAAGGGAACAAGCACAAGGCTCATTTGGATGATTCTTTGAGTCCCAGTTGTTGTATTTAATTTTTATAAAAGCCTATAGACCTGGTGCATGAAATTCATGCATGGGGGGGTGGGGTGGGGGGGAGTCATTCAGCCTGACCTGCACCCTCTCACAATCCGGGACATCTCTCTCACAATCGGGGACCGCTGGCTCCTAACCGCTTGCCTGCCTTTCTGCCTGCCTGATCGCCCCTAACCACTCTGCCTGCCTTTCTGATTGCACCTAACCACTTCCCTGCCTGCCTGATCACCCCTAACTGCCTCTGCCTCTGCCCCTGCCGCCATGGCTTCATCCAGAAGGATGTCCGGAATGACGTCCAGAAGGTCGTAAGCCTGTCCGGTCTAATTAGCATATTATGCTTTTATTTTTTTATAAAAGATAGTTTGCCATTTTCTTGGGCCTCTGATTAGTTCAGTGGGTCTCCTTCCTCCCAGCTCCCCACACTTTCCACTCAGTACGTTTCTCTCAATAAGAAAGGGGCTGGGCAGAGACCTCACAAAAGAAGTTTAGGAAGCCTTTTCCTTTCCTGAGAGATCAGTTTATTTGTTTGTTCGTTTGGGGAACAAGAGCGAATGTGATGTTTGCTAGGGGAGGAAGGCATGCTGGTCAGCTCCTGGAAGGGTGACTTTGCTGCTCCCCTGGTGGGTTTTCGCCTGAGGAGTGAGAGAAATAGACAGCACTTGCAAGTGATCCATCCATGCCAGTCCCGGCTTCAGCCTCCCTCCCTCCTCTGAAGAAAAGACTGGATTGCCAAGCAGCCAAAACCATGCTGGCCACTTCCACCCCCAGGTCTTCCTGTCCTGGCGAGCCCAGCCCAGCGCCATTCACAAGGTTCCCGGGGCTGGACCTGCCTCCTTGGCAAAGTGTGGAAAGTCAGGAGGCAAGCTCTGGGGAACCCCTGGGACATGGCCCCTCTGAGCTCTTGTCTGCAGCTACCATCTGGGTCCCCTCATTCATTTCCACCCCAAGCCCAGCCTCGGCCCCCACTCACCTGAGGCCCTGGCTTTCCAGAGAAGGATAAACAGGACTGAGAACACCAGGCCCTTGTTCAGGACGAATCCGCAAGTCAGAACAATAGCCAGCACCTGCAGCTCGGAAAGGGCCAGGGCAGGCGGCATGCCTGGAAGGTCAAGCACAAGCGTTGGAGTCCTAGGTTTGACCCTCCTGAGCCTGAGAGGGTGGGTGTCTGCTGCGTGTTCTGCTCTGAAGCTCAGCCTGCTCCCTGCCTCCTGGCCACCACAGCAGCCAAGCAGGGACTTTGAGGCCCGGCCTGATTTTCCCATAATGCCCTGCGCTGGCTCTCACCCTTAAGCAGCGGTTCTCAACCTGTGGGTCGCGACCCCTTTGGCGGTCGAAAGACCCTTTCACAGTGGTCGCCTAAGACCATCCTGCATAACAGATATTTATATTATGATTCATAACAGTAGCAACATTACAGTTATGAAGTAGCAACGAAAATAATTTTATGGTTGGGTCACAACATGAAGAACTGTGTTTAAAGGGCCAGAAGGTTGAGAACCACTGCAAAGGGATCTACCTGGTCTCCAGCCCCTAATATCTCCCTTCTCCACAGCTCCTGCCCACAGCTCCTGCCCACAGCTCCTGCCCACAGCTCCTGCCCACAGCTCCTGCCCACAGCTCCTGCCCACAGCTCCTGCCCACAGCTCCTGCCCACAGCTCCTGCCCACAGCTCCTGCCCACAGCTCCTGCCCACAGCTCCTGCCCACAGCTCCTGCCCACAGCTCCTGCCCACAGCTCCTGCCCACAGCTCCTGCCCACAGCTCCTGCCCACAGCTCCTGCCCACAGCTCCTGCCCACAGCTCCTGCCCACAGCTCCTGCCCACAGCTCCTGCCCACAGCTCCTGCCCACAGCTCCTGCCCACAGCTCCTGCCCACAGCTCCTGCCCACAGCTCCTGCCCACAGCTCCTGCCCACAGCTCCTGCCCACAGCTCCTGCCCACAGCTCCTGCCCACAGCTCCTGCCCACAGCTCCTGCCCACAGCTCCTGCCCACAGCTCCTGCCCACAGCTCCTGCCCACAGCTCCTGCCCACAGCTCCTGCCCACAGCTCCTGCCCACAGCTCCTGCCCACAGCTCCTGCCCACAGCTCCTGCCCACAGCTCCTGCGTCAATCACTCTGCACTGAGCCCTCACTCTCCCACTCA